TAAGGCTTGATAACAGACCCCATTGAATGCGCTCCTCTCACCTCTCCTCCTTATGAGAAACACTGATATGTACATGGTATATACATTCTTTGGGATCTATGTTAAGCGATCTGTGGAGGTGTTTAAAGTTGCTTGCAGAGACTTTGCTTGATGCTCATGGAATGCAAACACTGTTGTTTCAGATGCCTATCCAATCCTGAATGCTGATGCCTTGAACGATGTCACAACGGAATGCTCAAATCTCTATTCAACTCTCTCTTGTGGTGGTCCTCAGTATCCTCGCTCATTTGGCTATGATCCGTACATTAGTACTGCTGCTGCCCTCAGTCAGTCAAGTCAAGCAAATAACTCTTTTGCTACTCAACTACCAGCTTCGGCACTTCTGCCTCCTAAGGAAATTCATGACGGTATCTTCGTTTACATCACACTTATGTATTGATTACAGAATAAGTAACAGTTCTAGTATGACAGCTTAAACTTATCCAATTCCACCATCACAGCTTTCTGAAGCATTCACTGAATTGGCGTGTGAACTTGTTTTCATGTCATAAAAACGGTATTAGGATGTGCATAGTATGACACAAATGTTTTGGAGTAACAAAGAAAGACTGCTCTATTTTGCAGACTTCTTCGACGGACCCGATCTGCAGTTGCTGGCGCCGTTTGTTGCACAGGAGGATGTGATGCAGCTGACGACTGATATTCAAGGATTGTTACCGGAGCTGAATTTTGCCGATTGGATACCGGCTGATCCTACTCCGCTAAGTATTTCCTGTTCAGAAACACAGGTATTATTGGTTGTGTTTGTTGAATGCAGTTGTCGAATTCCAGTTGAATTCAGTTTACTGATGATTATTTCGGAGTGATTCTCGGATTCTAATAAATGAATCCGTTTCAGAGACTCAATTCTTTCAGTGACACTTCGCCAGCATTGTCACCAATCATCTCAAACCCAGTACCACAACTTAATTTGGTGATTATTTCCTCATCTCACATCTATTTATTCAATTCCTTCTGGTGTCAGTTTTAGATCATTCACTATGTTCAAATTCCTCTTTCAGCGCGTTTGTAAGTTATGCTGCTTTTTTTCGTATCTCACAAGATGAACTCATCCGTGGTTTTTCTCTTTCGTTTCAAATTACAAACGCTAAGCCATAAAAGTTGATTATCATCGTGCTCTATCTATGTCTTGAGAAAAATCTTAGCTTTTGAAGATATTATCATCGTGCTCTATCTTAAAATCTTACCGCTGATTCAAAGTTTTTTTCTCATCGATAAGCTTACTATGTGCTCAGCTACTGAATAAATATTCAGAGTGGAAGTGTCGTTATGTCCACATCGGCGACTTCTCGCAGGCCATCTGCATCCTCACCATCACGTCACAACAGCAACACCAATGCAAAAGCAACTACCTTCAGGCCTATCCCTTATCCAACACCAAATAAACCAAACGGATCGAAAGCGAGTGGCACAAACCCGGCTCATCACTCCTTTTGTAGTAGGTTCTTTGCGTGTGTTTGCTAGTTTCTTGAATGACTCCAGTTGTTTGAACTTGTTTTTTTGCCATTTTTGTACTGAAATTTGAATATTTTTTGATGCTTTTGCCAACTGTGAAGAGTTTTTCGATTCCTCTTAAAAGAGCATTCGCTATTTGAATGTTACAAATCAAATGGTGTTGTTGATTGTCAGGTTTAGGAAATCCAGCGGAGAGTGTACCGAAACGTTCGCTTCCAGCTGCTCGAAGG